CACAGGATAGAGCAGGGTTTAGGGCTGTTGTGCATAGGGTCGCTATGAGTCGTAAATGACTCAACGGCACATAACAACAACAACAACATTGCGATGGGTAAGTGTGCTGTAGAGACCTCTCCAAAGTAGTGAAGAGCAATGATGTCACTCTGGAGACGAAGGTGTGCCTATTACAGGCCATGGTCTTTGCAATCACTTGCTATGTGTCAGAGAGCTGGACAATGACTAAGGATGCTAGAAGGAGAATTGATGCCTTTGAGCCATGGTGTTGGAGAAGAGTATTGAACATACCATAGACTGCTAAGAACATGAACAGGTTCGTCCTAGAGAGGGTTAAACCAGGCTATTCTTTGGAGGCAAGGATTTTGAAGCTTCATCTGGCATACTTTGGACATGTTTCAAGGAAGGACCAGTCCTTAGAGAGGGACGTCATGCTTGGGAGGGTGGAGGGACGTCTCAGGAGAGGAGAACCCTCTATGAGAAGAATTGATTCAGTGACTGGGGTAATGGATGTAGGTGTGTCAGAGACAGTGAGATTGGTACAGGATAGAGCAGAGTTTAGGACTGATGTTGGGTTATGAGTCTCAGACAACTCGATGGCACATAACAACAACAATATCGTAAAAGTTGCACAATAATAGGATTTTACTTGCCATTGGCATTACTACTTATTCTTTTTAAGTTAATTCATCTGGGAATTAATATGAATAAAGTCATCAGTTTTATTCTCGTAAAGCTTTTACTCTATGTAAACAGATGATTACAAATGGAACCTAAGCCTAAACAATCAATCCTTACATAAAAGCTTCAAGAGTTCTCTGAAAGGTCTCTATTTCATGAAGTTTTAAAATCTATTGCTGTTATTTAGTGCCATCAAGATGCTCCGATTAACAGAACAAAACACCAGTGTTTCACCATTCTTATAAATTGCTGTCATACCTGCACCCATTATTGTAGCCATTATGTCTGTCTGTTTTGTTGAGGGATTTCATCTTTTCCAATGGCCACCTACATTACCAAATATGTCTTTCATCAGAGTCTAGCCCCTCCTGACAGCATGCCCGAAGTGAGATGAAGTCTCACCAACCTTGCTTCTAAAGAGCATTCTGACAGCACTTCTTCTAAGATTTGGTTGTTCTTCACCAACATTACAATTAAAAGGATTCAATTCTTCTGTCTTCCCTATTTCTTTTCTACCTTTCACATGCATATTGCGTTTGTTACATACCACTAAGTTAGAATAATTCATAGCTGACCCTCCAGAGGGCTTTCAGAGGGAATAAATCACACAAAAAGAGATTGCCTATCTTTCTCCCTTGAAGCAGTTGGTGGATTCTAACCTCCTGCTTTTGAGTTGGGAACTCAGTTGTTTACCCACTAGGCCACCAGGTGAATAAAAACATTGTGATTTGGGTCAGACGCACTTTAGTTTTCAAAGTGATCTTTCAACTTTTGATCTTTAGCGTTCCCCCCACCCTTATCATTGTGAGTTGAGCGAAAGTTTACAATGCTAAGTGATTTTCAACTTAATCATTGATGCACACTTTATTTTATAGCATGAATTATAAGGCAGTATAACCTCATAGCTATAATGCCCTGTAACCTTATAACTATAACATTATAATTAATTATAATGCAGTGTAACCATATACTTACAATGCACTGCATTAATTATAATGCAGTATATAATGTATAATGTAGTGTAATAATTTTCTTGTTTCCTGTCTGTCATTTTCATCTCCATTAATTGTTCTATTGTAACTTTTCCAGAGTTCTGGGATTTGTCTTCAGGTAAATGCTGCCCTTTTGTGTTTGATTATTCAAAGAATGAGAATGCATCCCTGGCATTTATCCTGTAGGTCTATCGTTTGACTACAATTGAAGCTAGGGAGACAAGTTTCATACCTGGTTCAAGCGGCAGCTAAATCCAGCATTTTCAAAGACCGGCAATTTTATGTTTTTAGTTTTATTCCACATTCTACCCATTCTATCCAAGACCTTCCACTGAACTTCCTTTTAGTGTTAAGCACTGGTAGTTTGGCACCATCTTCTCATGGTCATAGAGATTGAAGTTCACATTGTCCATTAGTCCTTAGGGCTAATTGTTTTAATTCATCTTTGCTTTTCTTCCCATTTCTTTGTTCCAGACAGTGAGAAGCTAATAGTAATAACTAGATGGTTTCAAACAAGCTTTTAAGATCCCAGTTGCTACTGACTATAATATACAACATTGTCTCTGTGGACTGTTATGCAAATTTAATTTGATATCTCCTGAGACTATGTTCTCAAGGCCTTGGAGTCAGAACTATTTATTCTGGGTGATAGGCTATGATTTGCCCTCTTTTGGTCCCACTTTATACAGCATTTATTTACCAAAGTTAGTGTAAAAACATTATCTTCCAGACCTATGAATGGTCATGGGTATGGTTCCTTTTACCCATTTATCTTACCTGACTACCTATATATCTGCTTGTAGATGGATTAATGATAATATTGAATGATTATACATCTTAATAGTATTTACTTTGTTTATTATCTTTATTGTGCACCTGTGTCTTCTGTCTCTTTATTGATGTTATGCTGAATATTCTTTGTTAGGAAGTTCTGGTGGTGGTGCTCATAGGGAATTCCAAAGGGCAGACTTCTGCAAAAGTTCAAATTCACCAGCTGCTCTGTGGGAGAAAGGCAGCCAATCTCTTCCTGGATGATTTAAAACCTTAAGAAGCCAACCAGAGGGTCAAGTATGAGTCAGTATCTACTTAAGAGTAATGATTTGAGTTGAAATTGGTCCTATTGTTATTTATTTCCTTTTCCTTATTCTTTCTTCGTATGTGTGTGTTGTCTATTTATTGATTCTCCTTTTTTGTGGTTTAAAGTTGTCTTTTATAATATATTTGGTCAATCAAAATTGTTTGGTATCTTGACTGCAAGTTTATTATTGTTGTTTTAGATGTCATCAATTCAACTGGCTCTTAAGGACCCTGTGATCTAAACCTTAACCTGTTCTGTACCATCATCACAATCTCTGCCTTGTTGTAATTTCTTTTTGTGACATTTTCAATTTTTTCCTTTGGCTATTGCTGTTATTGAGTACCATCAGGTTGAAACTGACCCATAGCTGGTCCTCCAGCGGGTTTTCAGAAGCAGTTAATCACACGGGAAAAGATTGTTCATCCTTCCCCTGCAGAGCAGCTGGCAGATTTAAACCTTGTGCATTCAGGTTTGCAGCACAGGTTCTTAGCATTAGGCCACAAGAGCTCCCTTGAGGACTGTTTATATTTTCCATTTCTACATGGGTAATTTTAATCTGTGGCCCTCAAGCCTGGTTTTAATTATTTTTAATCAAACATTCTTCTAAGTGGCATAATACTGGTCAGTCCATTTGCTGTACAGAGGTAACTCATGGTTGCTGTGAAGCTAAACACTGTGACACTGATGTGTCAAATGTGAAAATGATTACCCATGGTGGACAGTGTTTGGTGAAGCTCCCTGACTAAAACAAGCTTGGAAGCAGGGGTGGCATCCACTTCCAAAACAGCTTGCCTCCGCAAATTCTATGAATGTGGAGAAAAGATGAAAGTTATACAAATGTTCAGATCTTTCATTCATAGGGTCGCTATGAGTTGTCTACAACTTGATGGAACCTAAAAACAGCAACAACATGTGTGCTTATATAGTTAGGTAGTGTTTTCTGAAATTTTATCCATTGTAGATTCCCAAGTTTGGTGGAACAAAAATTTTTAGAACATATTGTCTTTTATTGAAGTACTGCTCTTTTAAAAATAGTGTCTTTTCTATACATAAATTTTATGACATCATATAGTGGAATTGACAGCAAAGTCATGTCTAATTAAAAAAGTAATTTTGTGGAGTTAAGTATATTCTTACCTCACAGGCATCTGGCCCTCCTTTCAAGTATCCAGCACATATCATTCCTGAAGATACAGCACCACCATATACAGAAATCTGGTTACACACATCGTTACTTATAACCTCTACTTGAGCTTGTTTCAGATTATTTGGAAATGGACCTAAGGAAGGAAAAAATAAGTTGGTGAAGTATCTTCAGATTATAATAAGTAATTGTTGTGTTTTCCATATGACAGGCCAGTGACAAAGCCTTACATCATAAAGTTATATGACTCTTGACTAGATCACAATGCTTATGTTCAAGTTACATTTTTTTCTTTTTTTTTTTTATGCCAGGTATCATGTTTGGCATTTTTGCTCCATCTTATCTAGTCTTTGCAACTACAATCAGTGATAAATATGAATAGAATTTTTGTTTGTTTGTTTTTTGAGATGAGAATAAAGAATTTCAGCTGGTTAGGGGTAGAATAATATAGAAAAATCTGTTAGATTACCTAATCATAATCCTGTAGGAAAAACAATATAAAGCAAGATTCTAATTTAATACTGGACTGATAAAACTCTATGGCTTAATAAAAAAAGTTTGATTTTGATAATAGTTCATCATGTTAATGAAAATAACTACCAGAATGAATAAAAATAATAAACATAA